ACTTGCAAAGACAAACCTAGATCACAGAGCCACTTGGTTAGAGGTGATGCGAGATGGTGATTGGTTTCGACAAGTTAAAAATCACTCACGGTGCGTTTGCCCAGCCCAGCACGTCGGTGGTGATCAGATAGAAGATGGTACCCCAACCGGCTGTTCGGAGGGCGCGAGATGCATTTCTCCATTCCTCATCGCTAACAGCCAGGGACGAGTCCGAGGGCGTAGATGCGACCATACCCTTTTCACCATCAATCTGCGGGCTATTCTGGGCATCTTTCTTTTCACGGTCATGGTGGACGCCCTTGGAGAAACGGTTCTGGATGACCTTGCCGACGGTCAGAGGCCCACGCTCCAGCACGTACTGACGGTTCTCCTCCTCTTCCAGCTGACGCTCGATATTGGCCCAGTACATGTACTCCTCGAGGGTGACGTTCGGATCTAATCGAGCGCGAGCACCATCGGCACGTGGAACCATCTTCAGGTGTGTTTCTTTATCCTGTCCGTATGCTGGGAGGACTCCCAGCACAGGAGGGATCTCCGCCGGCTCAATTTCGGTAGCCATGGTAAAGCAAGGCGAACGACGAACACAATCGCCGGAAGAAAGAGAGAGTAGAGGACGAATTTGAGGGGTGTGCAAAGATCTAGAACTGGGGGAGGTGGGATCGGCGGAGCTTAAGAAGGACCAAACAGCAAGCACGCGACGGGGCGAGTCTACAAAGTACTAGCTGATAGTGGATGCCAGACCAGTCAAAGGGAGGCTGACAGGGAGATAACGCCCACAAGCTAATAGCTAAAGAAACGAATGGGATTGCCGGAAGCGGGATTAACAGGCGGAATCCGATGGATCACCTTGGGCTAGTATCTACATTATCGCCGTCAGTATGAGCTGATCCAGCACTGATAATCGATGCAATTTAATGAACGCCAACAGCAGCGATGCTCGAGCGACGGTGGGCACCCATCCAGAAAGCCATTGACGGTCCATTGGAAAGTTAAACGGTCTGCATTCCCCCACTCCGAGAAGGGCACCACCGCTAGCCAGGAACTTGATTGGCACAACGAGGTCTTCTGGAGCATCTGTCGAAGGTCCGAAGGAGGGGTGGCGTCTTGAATTAGCTGGTTGGGAGGGTAACACAGCAGATAACCGTGGGCTGCACGAACGGCTTGCCACGAACCAGACGACTCCACCGTCGGCACGCTCATTTGCTCAGAGAGCTGCAAGACTAGACCAGGGTCACAGGCTTGCTGCGGCTGGAGTCGGATGCCTATGAGCTTAGTGAAAAAACCTGATATGATGAGGGAAAGAGGATGGTCATGAGTGTGATTTCCTGGCTGAAGCACGTTATCGCGCCCAATGAGACCTGACCATGATTATTGTCTGCAGGTAAATCATTGGATCGCACAATTCGGTCTGAAGCACCGTCTGATACACCGTAAGCCAATGTTGGCCTAGGGAAGAGCAGGTGGTGCGGGTGGTCGGTTGTGGATGCGCACATATCGGACCAAAGGCCATTTTCGTAACGGGCTGTGGGAAGATAAGGGCGACCCCCGGAGCCAGTGAACCGAATATCATTACCACAATCCATAAGTAACCCAATCAATCAAGCGAACGGACGACAAGAGAAAGACAGGATTGAAATTGCCGACGGAGAACCGAGTGGATGGGGACAGCGACCATGCGACCGCTGCACTAGCGCCCCCTTGTCTTGCTTCCCATCAATTTTACCGAATTTCGTGGACCAATTCCCCTTACACAATAGATCTGCCTGACTGCCACGCTCTTACATCTGGAATGTTTGGTTCCAGCCACAGCGGCACGTAACTCAAAAGACTCTCGCTTATTACTTACATAGTAGTGCCTAATAGTGGTACTACCAAGTATGGTAGCGCGGAGACGGTCTCGGGGGTCACTGAATGAATGAACCAGGAATGGGTGACCGGGGCAAGAGAGATGAGTGAAGAAAAAAATTTTGTGGCATCGACTAGACTAGCCGAAAACCCGGAGGCCCTGTGCACACGTGCTTATCAAAAGGACTCCCTCTATATCAGTTTCGAGGCCAATCCGTCCCATGGACGGCATGACCACTCAGTGGCTCTAAGCCCCATCCGCTCGTTGCTTGGCCTGTTGCTTGTTTCCCAAGCACGAAGCTTGGCCTCCGCATCGGCTCCAACGATGTAAAAAGTGGATATCTAGTGCACTACGCAGAATGTGTGTGTCGTGGAGTCATACCTCGCACTTGGCTGTGGCAATCTGAGAGAAATCCCCCCCAGAATCCTCTGATCGGGATTCGCCGTGGTGTGGCACTTGACCGTGGGGATCATACTTTCAGTTGAAGCTTACGGAAGACCGGAGTTCGGTGGGAGCAGAAAAATCCAGGTGGCAGGGGAGGGAAGTGAGACAAGACGCTGCAATCTGGGGTCCGGAGTAAAAGCAACCATTTCATTTTTGGATGGGTGGCGGTGGATGCCGGGTGGCAGCATGAATAATGGTCCTCCTATCAGAGAGTGCAGCCTGGCATAAGTGGGTGGAGATAATATACGGAGTAGTAATGGATGGAGAGGACTGAAGGATTAGTCCAATCAGACTAACTGAATGCCGGCTCGGGGATGCTACTAAGCAAGTTAGCAAATTCCTCTCCAGGGCTTCCTGGTCGGGTGGAGCCGCCTGCAGCGTTCCAAAAATTCACTATTAGGCGATATAACGCAACTGGTGCAACCCCAACATGCAGCACTGGACAGGCAGTCAGATTTCCTCCCGCTTTTCGATACGTGGAAGCCGCAGGATCCCGGTCGCATGGCAAATTAATGCCTTGTAGTACGTTGTCCGCAATCATGGTGAAATAATTGGTTGATTATCTGGCGCATAATACTGGAATCGGGGCTTGCTAACCGATCAACCAACCCCTCCTCTCCCTCTCACCTTGCCTCATCAGATGAAGGATATTCTGGTGTGACTTCGAGGCGTCGAAAAGTACAAAGGGTCTCGTACATCACAACGAAGGAAAACAAGATATGAAAAGTGAGAATTCGACGATATGCCCCGAAACGATTTTGCGGGTGATGGAGCTAGAGTGAGTGCAGAATAGTTGAGGGGGGTGTGGTCCGGGAAGCCGTCAAACCCCATCATCCCGAGCTCCCAGAACTTGCCGAACTCACACCATATGTTCAACATAAAGGGTGATGTTAGATTTGTTGATATACTACATGTAACAATAACCTGGGACTAATATTGAGCATGAGACAAGAGCTAGAGTCTGCTAGTAGTATTGATTCTAGTGTAACAGGGTGAATAATCCAGCAAGGTTCACACTCTCCTTCAGAGATGAAGGTGATAGTACAACCTCTCGATGTCATGAATCCTGATCCTGAATGTTCTAATAGCATGAACGTCCTACGTTTTCTTTATTTCACGCATTTTACTTCATGATGTCCCACTTTTCAAATCATAGTACCAATTCGAAAACAACGCAATCGATTAGGTATCTACGTTAGCGGACTAGTATAGGATCAAAATTAATATAATATAGACATCCTTAGCTACTGCTTATGACTATGGTATATAAGATTATCCACCTAAAAACATCATGTGTCTACAAGACTACTCAATGCTTACCGGTAGAACTAGGTATACCATTGCTCTACTTTTATTGATACTGTATCCAGTATTTAGTATCGGTACTGTAGAGAGCAATAACTTCATCATTAATTCTTGACTCTGTATCTCTTTCATCTGCCATCCTTGGGGTTATCCCCACCCTGTCCGCCTCCACATCGTAGGCAATGAATATGTTCCCTCCAATGAAAGATCAAGCAATTGGAATAAATTTCGCTAAAACATATTTCTCCGGAAGTCCAATGAGCGCCTCTCGTTTTATTTGCATGGGATCAAGCGCGTCGTCCTCCAATTCAATGTCAAATGACCGTACCAGACACTCTAAGGTCAAGTATAACTGGAAATACGCTAGAATTAGACGGTGCTCGCGTTTTAGGTCCTGTTCCAAGGTTTCACGTCACGTACTTAATTCTTATGCATCCCCGGCTACCTTTGCTGAACGAGACTAGGTAACGGGTCGAACATATGGATACCCCATCTTCCATCAGCCAGCGTGTAGGCTTGAATTCGCTTGGAGAGGGGAATTTCACCGGGTCCCTGTTAATGAAGTAGCTCGATGAGCTCATAGAAGTCTAGCTCGTCGGACATGTGACCTTAAATATTTCCAAAGGTAGAGGGGATAGTACGTACTCCTGAAGGGAGAATATAATTCTTATATCTGAGTGTCTCATCTAGCGCAACCCTCGGAAATCGGGCCACTGTTGCGTCTGCGAGACGGAGTACTTCCGGAATAACAGCCGTCCGGGATATTGCTCAGCGCCAATTTGACTATTTCTCATAATCCACCGAACAATCACCAGGTACGGAAGCTTTTCCAAATCCACAAGACTTGGCATAGCTACATTGGATGCCATAAATCAGGCATATTTTTGGTCAGTTCACCCCGAAGCCAGAACAGTAGGGACCTATCCCGCCCCAGATGGATCGTCGCCACGGTCAGAACCCGCGCAGTGGTGTCCGTTCCTACTAGGATGATTGCTAAGGCCTCGTCCTGTATCCGCGCTTGTGTACTACACTTACTGCATCAATTGCTCCGCATAAGATCATCGACACTGCTTGATACGTGTATAGTGAATGGATGTGGAAACACAGCCTGGTTCTGGTGTAAAGCATGGGTGAGACAGGTTTTGCTTATTCTTTCTGTTAATGATCATGCTGTCACGAGGCCACTTCACCGAATTACCAAATTGGTAACTGCATTAGATCCTCGATAATCAGCTCCGCCTGATCTTTATAAGTAACTTTTGCGGAATCTCTCTGGCGGGATATCTCTTACGGAGTATCTCGCGCAGACGTCTGAAGCTGTTGCAGATCTTTCGCTAGGCAAGTTGGTATATAATTTGGCTTCGATCCATTTATACAATACCTTGGTGAACGCGTCACAGTAACCATGACTTCTACAATGGATTTCGTTCACTCCCATCTTGTCGAACCCGAAGAGGTCTCCAAAGTTTGTGCTACCGGACTGCCCGTTCGGAGAAGCAGATACAAGAATTTATCAGATGAGGCACTGGCGGACTTCCATCAGAAATGGGAAGAGGCCGTGGGATATTCCTTCTATGGTGGCAGCTCCCACTCTGGAAGTATCGCACTCTTCTTCCCGCCTGAATGCAAGCCAGACAGAATAAAGCCATATACTAGGTTGATAGAGTACTTCTTCGCTAGGGATGGTAAGATGTGTTCATATTTGCCTTCCTTGATCAAGCTCTCAAGCTAACGGCTACGCAGATATGGTGACGGCAAGTACTGCCGGAAAAACGAGACGAGAAATGCCCGAAAATACCGCAGGAGGGGTAAGTTCACCCCGAGACAAGGGTGATATGAGCAAGGTGAAGCAGATACAATCCGAGATCTTCCGAGAGCTGATCGAGGTAGATCGTCTTCGTGGAACCTTACTTCTTGACTCGTTGAAAAAATTCGACAAAATACACGATACCCGGTCAGTTGAAGATTTTCAGTCGTGGGATGCTTACCTGGACTATCGCTGTCAAGATATGGGCATTGGGTGAGTGCTTCCCTATCACTGAACCCCCAGCCAAGACTTGAACACAATGAAATTGACGAGTAAAGGTTTAATTTGACAATCATTATATACTGCTGTGGCCTAGATCTTACACAATCAGATATCGAGATGCTGATGCCGGTTTGGTGGCCTGCAGCGGCAGCATCAGCCCTTACGAATGATGTTTACAGTTTCAACAGGGAAGCTTGTCTGGAGGTCCCGAGTAATACGAACATGGCCAATGCTGTTTGGTACTTGATGAAACAAGTCGGTTTACCAGTTTCCAGGGCAAAACAATTACTCCTGGAAGAAAAGATTCGGCCTTTGGAGAAGCAGTACAAGGAGAATATGGATGCCTACTTGTCCAACTCAAGCGGAAACAGATTGATGACTCCAGATGTCAAAGTCTTTTTAGACATGGTGGGGTTGGGGCTTTCTGGAAACTGGTAATGGAGTGCAATTGCAGACCGATATAACAGGTGGATGGACTACCCAAATTTGGCCGACCTCGGGCTCCCAAACCATAGCGTTGTCGAATTCGACGAATCAAAGGCGACATGTGCTACTTTCGAGCAACCCCAAGAAAAGAACGAGGCAGTCCAGCTCCTCATATTGAATGACTGTGCCACCTTCTAACCCCGGGTTGCAATATGCCAACACCGCTCAACTGAACCCTGCTTGGAACCTGTTCGCTTGCTCAGTATCTGATACTGTGCAGCGATTACCTTTCCGTGTCTTGAATGTCGCATACTTTGCTTTGTGCATTGCTTTAACATCGAGCATCAATTTCAACGTGAGATTATACCAGCTCTTCTAGGATGAAGAATCATAGCCTCCATAGATACTCGTGATGATAATCACACGCGTGAACAAGCTCACGGAATTTCTTGACATAACTTGCCCCCATACAGAAGTGCTAGCTTAGATGAAAGAGTTAATTTTCTACCAACAGGTCGAGTGGCCCTGCAGCAATCAGACGATCGTCTTCTAACCGGCTGTGCTGTCTTCCGGTAAAGAGGACCATGAAGGAATGGTTGAGGACGATCAAAGTCTATCCAAAAGGACTCTGCCCGTTCCTGGCCCAACTCCCCTTTTTCGAGGGTCAGGGTCACTGTGGCAAACACAAGCCTGGTCTACTTTATGCAACATGCCCAGAAGTGTGGCGGCACGATCTTGTGCGTAAGCCGCAAGTTCTATGTACCTCGATTTACGGATGGACTTCAGGAGGACAGCGGAGTGTATGTTCCAGAAAGTCAATCACTTGAGGTTGCCATTGGATCGGGTAATATCTGCTCAATCACGCAGTGAATATGAGTATTCATCTCAAAATATACAGGATCAAGGCAGACACCGTGAGATTCATACCTTAATACTTTTGGTATGGTCAGTTTGGAAGGGCTCACTCGATACCCAACAACTTGGCAAGCCCCTCCGCCGCATGTTTCCCCAACCCCTCCAGATTCCCCAACCCCATCATCTCCAATACGGTAATATCAAAGCCGAACGCCTGTCTCCACCAGCTGCGCATCTCTACACCCACCAAGGAGTCCATGCCCAGCTGCGACAGCGGCAGCGAAGTATTCAAGTCCTCGCCCGTCTTGAGCAAGAAGTTAAACAGCTTATTCCCAATCTCTCTTGCTAGCAGGCTAGCGCTTTCCCCGGACCTCAATATATACGGGTCAGATTTTGTCCGGGCGAGGAAGGTCTGCAGAGTATCACCGTCGGAACTGACATCGGGTACGTTGGTCTTCGCGACGGAATTATGGTATAGCGCCATACGGCGATCCTTTCTCCAGAACACGCGACTCTCGGGACTGCTGAGGGGGACGGATGTGCGGAGACCAAGGATGAAATTATTCTTGTCTACGAATCCTAGGCCGTTGTTGACATTTTTGGCCGCGTTGGGGTTCACGGAGAGAGACATCGTGGCCAGTACGGCCTCGAGAAGCTCGGACTCGGTAAGATGGTGTGCACCCGTCTGCTTCAGGCGCTGGAGCAGGGCGTCGTCCTCCGCCACGTAGCCAATGTCCTGGACCGCGCCGATATCGACCGCGGAGGCGGCCAGCCCCAGTCTGGTCCGGTACTGGACGAAGGCGTCCAGGAAAGTATTTGCTCCGGCGTAGTTGGCCTGGCCGGGCAGACCCAGCACACCGGACGTGGACGAGAAGAGCACGAAGAAGTCGAGGGTGATCCCGGCGTCCTGGGTGGCGTTGTGGAGGTGCCATGTTCCTTGGATCTTGGGCGCAACCGCGGTGTTCCATTCGGCCAGCGTCATGTGGGGGAACGCTTGGTCTCGGAGGACCATGGACAGTTGGAGCACACCTTTCAAGTTGGGTGCTTGCTGGATGGCTCGTTTGACATCAGCCTCGTTGGTGACACTGCCCTGGACGAGTCGAACGTCGCATCCCATGCTCTCAAGCTCCCGGACGAAGTCGTCATCGTTCAGACCCAGGCCCGCGCTCCGGGAAAGGAAGACCAGACAGCGGGCCTTGTGCTCCACGAGACGCCGCGAAACGGCGCGTCCGAGACCACCCAGACCACCGATCATGAGGTAGGATGCGGTGCTGTCCAAGTCGAGGCTCGTGGCAGTTTTCACTAATGTCGGGTCGATGTTGGGGCTGCCATCCGCGTTTCGCAAGAGGATGACCAATTTGCCGAGATGGGTTCCTTGTTGCATGTGTCGGAACGCATCCTCTATAGCTGAGGCATTGAATGTCGTAATGGGACTGATTGGTGTGATATGACCGGCTCGAAAGTACGTCATGATCAGTTCGAGAAGTCTGTTTTCATGAAAGCCAGTCCAGTCAGCGTCCCCTGGCTCATTGCTATGTCGGGGTCTTCACGTACCGTTTGCACTCCGATGGCCGCTTGTCTCGCAGCAGGTCCAAGTAAAAGCAGGAATACGTGCGGCTGCCCAGGAAGCGGCCCATGTCGAGCCGAGCGGCCCCAAGCATGTCACGCTTGCCGATGTCCACCATCTTCCCGAACTCAGCGAGGCATAGCCAGGTCGCGTGCAACAGTTCGCCGGAGAGGGAGTTCAGAGCCAGATCGACTCCCTGGCCTTGGGTTTCGCGCATCACACCTTCCACAAAGCTTGAGTCATGGGAGTTGAAGATGCGATTTCTCGGCAACCCATATGTTTCCATCAGGTATTTTACCTTCTCCTCACTGCCTACCGTGGCATAAATGGTCGCACCTGCCATGCGGGCCAGCTGGATGGCAGCGATTCCCACGCCACCGCATGCACTGTGGATCAGGATCGACTTGGCTGGAGGTCAGCATTGCGGCCCCCTGGCCTGACACGGATGGGGCGGGCTTACCTGTCCTTCCTGCAATCCGCCCAGATCGAACATCGAGTAGATGGCGGTAGCAAACACGACCGGCATGGTTGCTGCGTCTTCGAAGGAGAGGTCCGAGGGAATCTTTGCACAGAGCTTCTCGGAGGCAATGGCATGGGTCGCGAAAGTGCCATCTTCGCGCAGCATGACCCGGTCTCCGGGACACAGCCGCTTGACGTCGGGTCCCACATGGCGAACGATTCCGCTGGCTTCAACGCCCAGGCCATTGTCGGGAAACGGAACCACAGCCAATGCGCCCAAGACATCCTGACGGAGGAGGTTAGTAAGTAACCCATCAGGACTGCATGGTGGAGAGGGTCACGTTCTTACCTTGAAGTTCAGGCCGGCTGCGTATATCTCCACCTCGACTTCGTCCCCAGCCAGGGGCCTTCCTTTCGAGGCCTTCCAGTGCAGGGAGCTTAGGCGGCTGGGCTTCTCCATGTCAAGAGCGACCCAGTCGTCTGGCTCGGTCACAACGGCGAGGTCATCCTTGAGCGAGAAGGGGAAGATCCGTCCCACAGAGACGGTCCCACCTACGATGGTATACTCATAATCCGGATTCAACGATTCGTCCTTCGCTCGGGTATGGAATTTGGAATAGACGTCGATAATCTTGTCCAGCGATGAACGAATGTCATCTACTTCACACGTCGCAAAGTCCACCAGCATCTCTGAGCGAATGGAGCGTGCGGCACCGATGACCTGGGCAAATCGGGGGTCGGGGCATTGGACTTGAGAGAGATGCGTGATCCACAGCAGACCCGACTCCCCAACGGTATTCAGAAGGTGCTGGAAGGCTGCGAACCGAGCCGCATCGATGTCTTCGAAGAATGGGCGAGTGCAGTCGAGGAGGGAGATGATGTCCTGGGACTGGGGCAGTTCGTCCCCGAGCCGGAATGTCTGCACCTCGTAGCCTCGGTTGTTAAGCCGGCGCGACAAGGAGTCCGCATAGCTGTCATCACTGGGGTCACAGAGCAGACTGACAGTTCTCTTCTGGTCTGTACCATCATCGACCCGTGGCTTGGCCACCATGATGGCGTTCAGCTGATGCGGCTGCTCGCCGTCAAGCACCACCGCATCCAAGCCGGCGAAACCGGCGCCTTTCAGCTCCGACTCCCAGCGAGCCGGAGATACACAAGGCTCGTCCGGTCTTCCATCCGGCCCACCGTACCACCAGCCCGCCAGCGTGCCGAAGATGAAGTTGGGCCACTTGGAGGGGGAGTTCAGCTCGTGAAGGAGCAGTCGCCCGTTCGGGTCGAGGAGCTTGTGAACATTTCGGAGGGTTTCACCGAGGTAATTTGTTGCATGCAGAACGTTGGTCGCGAGGATCAGATCGTACTTCTCCCCATCGAACCCCTGCTCGGACGGGTCTTTGCTGATGTCCAGGGTGCGATACTCAATGTTGCTCTCCCCACTGAGCCGCTCCTTGGCCGTCACAAAGAAGCCCGAGGAAATATCCGTGTACGTGTACTTGGAGAAAAGGGAGGGTGTGGAGCTGGTGCTAGTCGAGCCGGGCAGGCGTAGCAGCTTCAGAATGCTCGCCGTCGTCGCGCCCGTCCCGGCTCCGATCTCCAGGATTCGCAGGTTGGGCTTAGTATGGGCTAGGTGTTGGATGAATTGGGACCGGTCACACGCGTCGGTGACAACATAGAGCTTATACAAGGTGTCATCTGCGAGAAGGATATCGAGAGCCTCTGTTTCCCCGGTGAAGAGCGCCGCGATGTTGGTGGCTACTTTCTGGAGGCCGATGGCGCAGTCGACGACGGGCGTCTCGGACAGGTGTTGCACCAGTCGTTCGATCCTCTCCACAAGGGCCTCATCCTCAAGGGCGAGGAAGGTGGACCATTTTTCGTCAAGCCGCATTGCTTCCACCTGGCGGTTCATCCAGTCGCGATACAGGGGCATATGCGCCACCGGCGTGCTAGCATCTTTGATGCGTCGACTGCCGTAGATCATACCTAGCCGAGCCAGCTCGTCCAAAGCCGGCGTGTACAGATGCCGAGGAAACGACGGCTTGATCAGCGTGCTGGCGTCCAAGAAGTCGATATGCGGTCCCCATGTCAGGCGGGCGGTGGTTTCAAGGCCGTCGGTCTTTCCTGCCTCGCCGGCCTC